GCTGGGGATAGTAGTAGATACACTGGAGGGTAGGGCTAGGATTCAGAGTGACTTAGCCAAATTGGAGGATTGGACCAAAAGAAATCTCATGAGGTTCAACAAGGACAAGTGCAAAGTCCTGTGCTTAGGACCAAACAATCCCATGCACCAGTTCAGGCTGGGGGCTAACTGGCTGGGCAGCAGCTTTGCAGAAAATGACCTGAGGGTTACAGTGGACAATAAGCTGAATATGAGCCAACAGTGTGCCCTTGTTTCCAAGAAGGCTAACACCATACTGGTCTGCATTGGTAAGAGTGTTGCCAGTAAGTCAAGGGAAGTGATTATTCCCCTCTATTGAGCGCTGGTGAGGCCACCAGTGGATGAGGAGGGTAATCACACAGGGGGCACCACGTTCATGTATGTACACACACATGCAAATGGCAGCCAGGCAGCATGGGGAGCAGCTCACGCAGCTCCCCACAGGTTAATCTGTGGGGAGAGGGCGGGAGAGGGAACTTAAGGCCTCTATATTGAGTAAGCGAGGGATAAAGTTGGGCAGGGCTGGGGCAGTGCACAAGGCTGGGGCTTGGGGCCAGAGTGGGAAGGCATGGCTACAGGGCTCCAGCAGCAAGTGGGACCAAACTGCGGGAGGCTTGTCTGGGGTTGGAGGCAGGGGCTTGCTCCCTGCCACTGCATGCACTCTCAGGGGGAGCTTGATGGGGCATATGCCCCCCAGAATTGTGCATGGGGTGGGGGCAGATGTGGACTGGCAGATGTGGGCTCAGGTCTCCCCACACTGATGCTCTCCCCCAGGGCCTCTGCAGCACAGCAGGCAGGACCCAGCACAGCAGGGCAGAGTGAGGCAGGGCAGGGAGGGTCAGTGCTGCTGCCAGGAGCCCTATGCTGAGTTGTGCTCCCCTGCTGCTGCCGAGTGAGCAGGGGGCACCTTGCCATGGCAGCGTGGGGCACCTGATGGCAGCACCAAGCCACCCTGCTCTGCCCTGCCCTGCACAGAGGCGTATTTTTTTTTTAGTATCAGAAAATTTTAGCTCTGCCACACTTCCCCTTCTTCCCCCTCCCCCCGCCCCCCCCCCCCCCCGATCTCTGCTCCAGCTGTGCTGCTGGTTGGGGAAAGTGAGCTAGGCTCACGGGCAGCAGCCAGGTCTCTGGTGCTGCTGGAGGCCAGCAGGAGGCTGAAGACTCGAGGCCCTGGCCCCATAGCCCTGGCAGCTGCGGTCCCCTTCCATCAGGGCTGGAGGAGGCAGGGGGCTGTGAATAGGGAGTGAGGGGCACTGGCAGGGCCAGGGGCCTGTGGATTGGGAGTGAGGGGCATCAGCAGGGCCAGAGGTGTGTGGGTTATGAGTGTCTGGTGCTGCTGGAGGCCAGCAGGAGGCTGAAGACTCGAGGCCCTGGCCCCATAGCCCTGGCAGCTGCGGTCCCCTTCCATCAGGGCTGGAGGAGGCAGGGGGCTGTGAATAGGGAGTGAGGGGCACTGGCAGGGCCAGGGGCCTGTGGATTGGGAGTGAGGGGCATCAGCAGGGCCAGAGGTGTGTGGGTTATGAGTGAGAAGTACCAGCACCTCGGAGCCCAGGGGGTTGTTGTTTGGGAGTGAGGGGCACCAGCAGGTCTGGGGCATTGTGGGTAGGGAGTGAGGGGCACCGGCAAGGCCAGGGGGGCTGTGTGTCTGTAGTGAGGGGCACTGGCAGGGATGGGGAGCTGTGGTCAGGAGTGAGGGCGCCAGCAGAACTTGGGGGCTGTGGCTTGCAAGTGAGGTATAGTGACATGGGCAAGGCACTGGCATATCGGGACTGCTCAACACCACAGAGCAGCTGTGGGGGACAGCCGCAGCTGGACCCGCACCCTGGTGAGTGAAGGAGGCAGGGGGAGCTCTGATTTTCCATGGTAAAAAACCCAAAGTCAAATGCCAAAATGTATAGGTATTTAGAATTTATTTTATTATAGTGATTGAGCACTGGTAGGCTTCCAAATTGCTTTAAAATTGTAAATATATCAATAAAACATTGCATTTAACTGATTCCAGTATACGTAGTAGTGTTTCATTTTAATTGCATAAAAATATTTGGGGTTTGTTAAACAGAGACATTATGGGGATTTTATCATAGAATTTGCTATTTTTAAACAGAGAAGACCAGGATCCCCGGTTATCATCAAATTTAATGAACATGCTCTTTCTTTTTGTGACAAGGTTATTAATGATAATGTTAAATAAAATTAGTCTCAATTTTGACACTTGAGGTCTTCCCCCTCTAAGCCTTTGTCAGACATTTTTTCAGTTAAGATTTCTTTTGTACAATATGCCCCATGTCAGGGGCTGGGAAGGTGTATATTGGACTCAAACAAAAAAGTGCTACTCAAAAGAAAAAAAACTTAATATCCCCTATCATCATTAAATCATCCACAGATTTCATTTTTTACACATCACTAGCAATACATTCTCAGCAAAAGTCGGGAGAACAAACAGGCCTTGAAATATGAGCAGGAAATTAATTGATTCAGAGTTTTTTGAGCTGGCGCTGGGAGGAAACACTTGAGGACCTTTTGGTGAAAGATAAGCTGCTATATTCTTCATCAGCATAAGATCCCAAGCAGCACTAAGGTAAGGCCTCAGAACTGTAGCATGTTTCCCAGGAGGCTAAGCCTGAGGGCAAAGACCCAGATGACAGTGACAATTCAATGTCTAAGGAAAGGCTGTAATCACCTAGTCAATATAAGTGACAGAACCCCATGTTGGCCACTGCAGGGCAGGTTGCAGTGCAGTAGAACCTCTAGATTGAAAGCTTGGTTAACGCTGCCCAAGCATACACAGCTGAAGCAGCATTTTCTCTCTCACTCCCAATTCCTCTGATGCTGCCTGGGTATTAAACAAGAGATGCATTTTATTAAGGCATCCTGAACTGAAGGGTTAGCTAAGTCTTTCCTTCCCATGAGTAACAGCAGTATCCAAAACGTTCATTTTACAGTATTTAAGGGCCTCACTGTTAGCAGATTTTTTATTTATTCATTCATTGACTGGGAGCAGCTTCTAGCCAAATTTTCAGCATTGCAGCTGTGTGTGCTCCCAGTCATTTCCAAGTTAGATTGTTACATAGCCCAGGGAAAAACAAAACTTGCCTTAATATCACTTAATAGAGGTCAGAATCTTTATTTGAATAGCTGCCAAGCTATGTGATCACATCAGCTGTTGATAGGGGAAATGGAAAATGCACTCTAACTGGAATTGTTTGAAACCAGGAAACATCTTTAAAAAACGGTTTTTTGCACAAGTATAATTAGCTTTGCCTCTGAAGCTGTAATTCTTTACAAGGATGAAATCAACCTTTAAATATTTCAGCAAGTTTGAATTTGCAAAACCTGAAACGGACAGAATTGGGGGGTTTTTCTCCCCTTGCTATTTCTTAGTTTTTGGTGAAAATAAGGAATTCAGAATTGCACAGTGCTGCAAGGTAAATGGCTAAAAGTTCTGAAAAGAAGCTGAAGCAGAGGCCAAATGCGTCATTACTACTAGTAATCAAAGATCATAAAATAGTTCTTGATTTTCAGTTGTGTAATGTGTCTGGGTTAGATCCTGTTCACTTTTCTCATATTAGTAGTTCCACTGACCTCAGGGGGACACGAGTAAACCAAGTAGGACCTGCCTTATGAATAAGACCTGCCTTATGAACTATATACTACTTTAAATGTTTTCATAGATGCAAAAGCAGAAAATTATCTACTTTCAGCAGGTATGAAATATGAAAGATCTAATTCTTTGTTTGCATCATTATTACCTCTTTTATAAACATTAAAGATGTAACCCTCAGAAGAACCTGTATCTCAAATAATTTTGTTTCTGTATGGCAGCTGCTTTCTGCTGTTAATTACAAATGAAGTAAATCTGATATTGTAGTTAACAGAGTTGTACTGGGACAAAGGAAACTTTTGTAATTAAGATGCAAGGCTGGGATTTAAGAAGTTTGCATCCAGTCCCGATGGTGCCATAGACTTTTTGGGACTTTGAATCTTTTAATTTTTTTGTATATCCTTTCTTTTTTCTGTAAAATAAGGAAGATGCCACTCTGACCTCACAAGTGGGCTTTCAGGGTAAATTAAACAGCTCTTGACTGGCCCCCAGCTGCTCTGGGAAATCCCCACCCAGCTCAAGGCTCACTGCCGGCTGCTCCAGAAGAGGGGCAGCTCCAAGCTAGCCCCCAGCGGTGCTTCATTGCCCAGCTGGGTGCTTGGTAGCAGGTGTCCCACCAGCCAATTGGGGCAGGGGTCTGGGAAACAGCTCTGGGGGAGGGGACACTTTCCCAGCCCCCTGCCCCAATCAGCTGATCAGGGCAAGGAGCTGGGAAACAGCTGCCCCAGATGCAGGACCGCCTGTCCCACACCCAAGACCTCAGGTCTGACCTTGGTGCCCCCTACCAACTCAGGGCTGGCACGTGGGGGAGCCTAGAGCTCCCCGTGGCTCCCATATGGGAATAGAGCAGGGCCGGAGTAGCCCTGCTCTGCACTGCTCCTGTCAGGAGCAAATTTGCTCCCAGTGGGCAAATGGGTATATAGATATACTCCCAGAGAAAGCTTACTGCATTATATTAAGCTTTCAGCACATTAATTGCATATGTAGATGCACTCACTGTGTAAACAATTATTAGAATACAACTTGAGCTGTGATCTTCCCACTTCACATAGGTTGAAAAAAGATGTTTGAAGTTATTTGAGGCAATTCACTTTATCCAGAGAAATGCAGCCAAGCTGCACATCTGTTTTTCAAGTTCAAATCAAGGGTAAAAATCATTCCATTGTTTGTCTGGAAGCTTATTAACATTCTCTGAAATCAGCCATTGGGTTTCCTTTTGAATAGCTGACCTGGAAGAGATACCCCTTAATTCATGTTTGTGTACCCTTTTTGAGTAATCTCAAAAGAATGTGAAGAATGTCACTTTGTGAGTAAATTGGCACTGTATGTATTCCTTTGTGTGTCTAGCATTATTTACAAGTGTGTCATTTATTGTTTGAAGCCTAACATTGGAAGATTAGGAATTCCTCATGGGCCTTCTGGAGAAAAGGTGGCAGTAGTGACAGTGGATGACTGTGACACAGCAGTGGCTGTGAGCTTTGGAAGTCTCATTGGCAACTATACATGTGCTGCACAAGGGACTCAGACTGGCTCAAAAAAGTAAGGGCATTTTACATATATTTTCTTTTCATTTTCACCATTAAGGGAAATTGAGTCTATATAGCAAAGAACCGATAAAAAAGCAAACTGACCACCTTTAAACTGGCAAGGTGAAATTCAGTGCCACTAATTGTAACTGGGAGGGGTAAGGTGAACTGTTCATAAACAGAGCTATGCCTAAATTAACTGCAACTGTATAAGAAAGGGATCTAAGAATTAATGAAGAAAGCTCAGTGAAAACATCTGCTCTATGTACAGTGTGGTTAGAAAAGAAAGTACGATTTTAAGCTTCAATAAGAAAGGGACAAAAATGGTTAAAAGATTGTATCATCATTTCAAATCACACCATCCAAAAAGGATGTAGCAAGAGAGAAGGGAAAAGCAGTGAGATACTTAAACAGGCTTCTCTAAAAGGGAAGATGGTAAGCTCTGCATTGTTTCATTTAAAGAACTGAATAACAAATAACATGGTAGATATAAAATAAAGAATAATACAGAAAAAGCCAATCAGATTATCCTTTCATATAAACAAGAGCAAGGGGGCACTCACTGAAATTAAGGCTCATTTAAATGTAAAAATAATCTGTATCTTGTTTCTTTATTTCTTCTTATTTCTTTAGGTCTTTGGACCTCACTGGCCCCCTCCTTCTTGGGGGTGTCCCAAACCTACCAGAAGATTTTCCTGTGCATAACAGACAGTTTGTTGGCTGCATGAGGAACCTCTCCATTGACAGCAAGCCAATCGACATGGCTAGTTTCATAGCCAATAACGGCACTCTGCCAGGTATAAGCTCCTGGTATTTGAAAATCCACAAGAAAAAACTTTCAGTCACCCTGAGTATATAAGCACAAATTGAGAGCCAGATTTTCAAGAAAGGGTGCTATGCATGTGGCTAAAAACTGCAAGTACAGCCTTTTTACATGAAGATTGATTTGACTGGCTGTGTGCAAGCTGGTGCAGATTGGCTAATTTTGCCTGCAGGAGCTGGGCATGGTATTTTTCATTTCAGGCAAAAAACTTCCTACACTTTGTGCTGCCACCACTGCCCAGTGTCAGTTCTTTCTGCTCCTCTGAGCTGTGGAGGGGAAGTTTTGGGAGTGTGAGGAAGGAGCCCAGGCCACCTAGTGCAGAATAGATTGGATGGGGATGGAAAAAGAAGGAAACCCCTTTTCTGTCTTCAGTGCCAGCCCCTGTGCTTGTCTTTCTGAGAGGAGTATAACAGCCACAGAAGCTGTTGCACCTCTAAAGTTGTGTCAGACACTTGTTGAGCTGTCTGGAGAAAAAAATGGGGAAAAGATCTTCGCCTCAGCTTTGGTCACTGTGCACATTGCCCTGTTTACTTGAGCTAGGTAATTTTAATTCTTGTACCAAAGACACACATAGTACCTCTGAGTGTTTGGACCACTTGAAGGATGAAGTGGCACTTAAGAGGTGCACAGAGCTTATTTGGACTCGCTGCATTGACAAGAATCTTTTTCAGGAATTTGTGCAGAGAATTTAGCCCTGAGTGAACCCTGAAGCCATGTTTCATGCAAAGTAGACATTGTGTGACATATTTAGCCTGCACTCAATCTGCTGTCCCTGAATTTCCTTTAAGAACCCTCTATCTGTATATGTCTGAGGCACAGCAGTTGGATCACAGTCAGCCCTGAAACTTTGTGTAATTGGGTCCAAAAAATGGAATAGTTTAGCCAGTTTTGAAAATTCAGTTCTTCTTTTAAAACAAATACAGTAGCCCCCAAACCTGAAATGCAGTGTGCACAGAATATGTTCATAGTTATCATGACTTTTCAAACCATTTTAAATGTAATATGGGTGAGTCTCCTGTCCTGCTGAATAGTGCTTGTAACTGCCTCAACAAGAGATGTGCTGGAGTCCAGGCTGGCGTGCCTGGCTTCCTGTGCTGAAGAAGTCTGAAAGTGCTCTCTTCCACAAATGAGGCAGTGCAGCAGGTTTCAATATAATGTAAAAATGTCTCATTCCTTCTTTCTCTGAGTGGAGATCTGCTTAAGGCAGAGCTTTCCAAACTTTTCATGTTGGTGACACTTTTTAGACATGCATCATTTCGCGACACAGTAATTCAGTTCCGGGGGAGGGGCCAAGGGAAGCAGACGCAAGTAAGGGAGCTCCGCGGTGCCCTTCCGCAAAATTTGCTGCATTTCGTGCGACACACCTACACACTGCTGCCGACACACTAATGTGTCGTGGCACACAGTTTGGAAAGCTCTGGCTTAAGGGATGAACTATGGGGAAAGAGCTCCACATTAATCCTGTATGTGCACCATGAGCTAAGGATGGACTTGCAGCCCTAACTGCAAATTGCTTAGCTTTTGCCAGTTTGCACTTATTACTTCAGTACAACTTTTAGTTCATGTCAATATTTTTAAGGAAAATTGAGTAAAGTAAGGTTTTTCTTTGGTTATTTTCTGATTTGGAAGCACTTTGCTACATGATGTAATTCCACTGGGTTCTGTTGCATTAAATTAGTGTTTAACTTAGCACTTCAGCTGTATCTGTCTGGTTTCTTGGTCTCTGTTGACAATATGGATCCTCTCTCCTTTGTTTTACTGACCTGAGGGGCATTAAAAAAGAAGTGCTGTGCTGGTTTAGTGATTTCCTTTCTCTTTAGTACTGACAAACTTCCAGGTACTGTCTTGCAGGTACAGTCATTCAGAAACTTGTTAGATTATTCAAAAACTTATGGTTAGAATCACTTGAAGTCTTGGAAACTTTTGTGTAATACAAACACCATTCCTGACACACAAGCAGAGTATGGTTTGGTTGAGTAACTCCATTTTCTAAATTCCAGGCTGTGCAGCTCAGAAGAACTACTGTGAGAGTAACTGGTGTCAGAATGGGGGAACATGTGTGAATAAATGGAATACCTATGCTTGTGAGTGCCCTCTGCGATATGGTGGGAAAAACTGTGAGCAAGGTATGGTATGCAAAGCTCCTATGGCATGTGTTTTTATGTTCACTAATAGGTTTTGTGCATCATAATAATTAACTTCTCATAATGTATATGTCTTTCTGAGATGCTTTAGGGAGACAGGTAATAAAATGTAATTAAAAATAAAATTCACCCATTGTATATTTAAAATAACTGCGCGCTCATCTACATTTAAAGATTTCCTTGGAGTCTCAGAACAGCAGAGACTCCCTGTGCCTGAAGACAGGTGTTTGCATCTGAAAGCTTGCTAAGAACTTTTTTCCAACTATTCGGTTGGTTTAATAAAAATGTCACATCTTCTTAAAGAACCTTGCCTGCCTGTGTCCTTAGACCAACATGGCTACAACCAAAACCCCAGCATCTACATTTAAAAATGGCAACTGACTTACTGAGATTGACAGTAACAGCTTTTACCTTTATTTGTTTCTGTTAGTGAATTAGGTTGACCACATTTGGAGCTATTTGTCTAAAATGGTACAGCTATGTGTTGAAAATAGAAGAGCCTGATATGAATCCCATTAAATCAGTGGCAAGACTCCCATTGATTTTATTGGCCTTTGAGCCAGGTCCAAAACAAACAGGGGCTTAATCTCCACTTCTTTGAGGGGAAGGCAGTGCCTCCTCAATATAAAAAAAATGACATTGGAGTTTACTCATTGCTGAAAAAAACTGCATGAAACTTGTTAAAAGGATATGAGGAAAAACCATCAGGTGTGTTTTATAAAAGAATGAAGAATTTGAATTTGGCTTTTTTCCTCGGAGAAGCTAGAAAGATACTTCCTTAGGAAAACTGTAGGTGCAAACAAGGTTCCTTACAGCAGAGCTGGCATTATAGCTATGGCTATGCAGAAGGGCTATATAACCTAAACTTGGTTAGCACAGGTTGCTGATTCCTACTTATGCTCTGCCAGAGTTCTACAGGGAAAGTCCCATTACAACTAGGCTGTGGAAATTTCCGTAGAAATAAAACATTGAATTCTGGCTTTGTTTGTGGTCTAAAGGAAAGTGCCTTCATTGAAATAAGTGGAATTATACTGCTGCTGTAACTGATCCAAAGTTCTGTGAAATTTAAACAGTGATTTCCTTTGTTCAGTGTGGCTGAAGAAAGCTAAGTGGACTCTTGGTTGCAGGTGACAGGAAATAGATGTTAGGTTGACATCAGATGGTGGTCCTTGTCAATCAGTGGTTTTCAAACTGTGTTCTGTAGAACCCTGGGGTTCCACAATACGTCACCAGGGGTTCCACAAAGAGATTGGGGGTAATAGCAGAGCAGGCTGGGAGGTGGTGTGCCACCATTGCCAACCCAGGTCACCTGGCTTCACGTCAGCTTGTAGGATAGGGTTAGTGGTTCCATGGCAGAAGTGATACGAAAGGGTTCTATGACTTTACGAGGTTTGAAAACTGCTGCTCTAAACAAAGACCTTATTAGTCCTGTGGTCTGATGTCAGATAGCTTTGTCAGTCAGGTGCTACTGTTATGTTTATCAGTTATCTACTGTTGAACAAACTGATCTCTCCAAAGAGAGCAAGGGATCTGATATTGCTGAAGTGGCTCTGATATTACTCATAGTGGTATAAATGGAGAATAATTACATTGGAGGCAAGGGGCCTGGTTTCCTTATTGCTTTCTCTTGATTTTTTAGTAGAAAGATCAAAACTGTCAAGTACATTTTTTCTTGAGATATTTTATTTTAAACCAAGGACAAATGATCTAAGAAATAACATTTAATCATGTTTTAAAGCTTAACCATTATTTGGATTTTACCTGATACATTTCATAATACATGCAATGTTATCCCCTGCTCTAAAATTCTCTCCGGTTATGAAGGTAGTGCAAACTTGAACTTTTATGCTTAAGCTGTAATGCTTATTCTTGCCAAAAACTTTGTTAAAGATTGTTCTTCTCTTTATGGGCACCAGGTCACAAGCAAATTATTTCTTATAAAGGAACTGTGGAAATTTTTAGCAAATATGAAAAGAGATTTAAGGAGCCAAGAGATGAAGTTGGTAGGAACCAATGATGCTCAGCATTTTTAAAATTCAAACCACTTGTATAAGTGCCTATATATACCTTCTGAACCTAACAGCAAGCTTTGAAAATCTTCACATTAATGTTAAATCCTATTTGGGATTAGCTGGCAGATGTGTTTTGAACAGTCCTTTTGTTAAGGTTGCCTCTGTTTCCACCTCACTGGGAGTGTCTACACATGCACCCAGCTGCGCAGTAACCACTGTTACTGTGCAGTCTTGGCAGCGTATGGCTTGTTTCTGACCCTACTGCCCAGTAACTTCAGCGTCACAGTTCATGTCTGCCAATGCTATTTTGCGGTAGCTTGTTGCTATGGCAGTCTAGCATCTCGTGTAGATGCGCCCACAGCGAACCAATGTAATGAGGACTTTGCTTAGGCCAAGAATTTGTCCAGTTTGCCTGTAAACTGGTAAGGACCCGGGCCATTTTTCTCTGTATCCTTGTATGGTGCTCTCAACATGGAACCTCCAATTCTCATGGGCTCCTCTGGGTAGTACCATAATAGCAATAATAACTAATGACACCAAATAGTGATAAGTACCCCATGGATCAAAAGGAGATAAAAGGTAAAAGAAAGAAGAAACCCTTCTTTAACTCCCTGAATGGAAATTTAAAAGGAATATTAGCAGCTCATTTCTATCTGCCACCTATAGATAAAACCCCCATTTTCTCCAGAGTTGGTTTAGAATTAGTTTCTGAGAAATTTTAGTTAGACAGATGAGACATTTAAATTCAAATGTTGAGTTTTTTAGCAATCTGAAAAAGAATAAGTTATCAGAAAAGTAGCTTGTGTCTTGGTTACATTCCCCACCCACAGTTTCAGAATGTCACAGCTTATTGTGTACTGGATTGTAGAAGGCAAGGTATTCTGGAGCCTTTGAAAACTGGGGAGGAAAAAGTTAGTGGCATTTGACACCTGTGACAGTGTGAGAGGCAGTTTGGGGTTTGTGTTGGACAATAATACACCTGGAAGTGTCTGCTAAAATGATTGGTAGTGAAAAGTTAAAAATGTTTACATCACAGCATTAGCTTCTCAGTTAGGTAAATAGAAAATCCCTCAGACCAGTTGTTTCAGGCTGTTTACAGGGTCAGGCAGTAATTATATCGTTTACATTACCAGGGGTAGTCTCATAAACTGGAGGGCTAGAGACAGCATTTATTTTAAAAATGAAACCAAACAACTCTGTAGGAACAGATAGGTAGAGTGGATTCTGTGGCAATTTGCACAGCAGTACAATACAGGTGGTTCTGACTGCAAACAGGCAGTGCGCCAAGAATTTGATGTTCTCCCCCTTTCCACTGGCTGGGGTCCCTTGAACTAGGGACAGACATAATACATAAACTGGTTTAAGTGATCAGAAACAGATTTAAACCTGTAACAAAACAGATGTTCAGTGCACATAAACCAGTTTGAAATGGCTTAACCCGGTTTGAGATAAACCTGTTCCCAAAGCACCTTAAACCCACAGACCACTATCCCATGCTCCTTATTCATGTGGGCACCAATGACACTGCTCGGAGCACTCCCAGCCAGGTCATGAGGCGCTACAGGGATTTGGGAGCGGGGCTTAAGGGTCTGGGGGCACAGGTAGTGTTCTCGTCGATCCTCCCAGTATCAGGCTATGGGCTGAGAAGGGACAGGAGGATCTATGTGGTCAACCAAAGACTGCAGCGCTGGTGTCGTCAGGAAGGCTTTGGCTTTCATGACCACAGCCCGCTCTTTGGCGAGAGAGGCAGCGAGCTGCTGGGAAGGGATGGCCTCCACCTCTCTCCCCTAGGGAGGAGGCTCTTCTCAGCCAGACTGGCTGACCTGCTCCAC